GTTTTTTGTCCTCTCTATAGGGCGTTTTTCCAAGCTCTCCCTACTTTAAACATGTCGGGCCTACCTCCCCAACAACCCCCAACCAGGCTAGGCTTGGCTGGGGAATTCTGGGAGTTGAAGTCCAGACGTCTTAAAGTGGCCAAGGTTGAGAAACACTGCTTGATTGCATCCCTTCCTTTTAGCAGTCCTTTTTGCAATCTGCAGTTCAAATTTTGCAATTACAAAAACTCCCATCCTAATACATATTTTGCCTTTGGACTCTCACTTGCTTTGAATGGCAGTTTGCCGCAGGACTCGTGATTCGGACACCCTCAGAGGAAGAAAGTGGAATCGCTTTTCAGATGCAACAGTTTCGAGAAAAACAGAAATCTCTGTGGCCATCGCGTCGTCGCCCCCGATTGCAGCAGCTCGAGCTGACTAAGCCGTCTAAAATGTTGGAATTTGGGCAGACATCTGCAAAAGGAGAGGAAAAAGAAATAAAGAGCCATTGGAACCCGTAAAATCGACGCAGGCATATATTTCTAAACGCTGCATAGATCTACGTTCCATCCTGGCGGAAAAGTCGGCTTACCCTCTCTAAAGATGGCCGCTCCTGCCTCAGCCCTGGTTTCCTGTTTAAAATTCTGAGGAAACGCCACAAGTGAACGTTGTCCTTCAGCATCTAAGAGTTTAATTGGCATGAAAAACGAAAGAAGCTTCGCAACTGAGGAGTTGCGTTACTTGGAGGGGGGGGGGCTCTTATCTCCACGTGCCCAAAAGAAAGATGGCGACGCGGCTCCTGGTGGAGGCGAAGGCTCGTCCGGAAAGGGCAGGTTCCGTTGCCTGGCAACAACACGGCGTTTCTAGCGTCAGAGGAGAGGGCGTTCCCACATTCTTTATTCTAATTGGGCAATTTTATCGTGCGCCAGCGTGAGCCGGAAGTGATGATGCAGGAAGCCGGAAGTGGGTGATGGGCTCAGGTGGTCTTGATCTGGACGGGGACGGGAGGCTTCTTTCCATGCGGGCCCGGCGGGTGAGTTGGGAAGGCGGGGGGCGGGGCCACTCTACCTCGATTTGCATATGCATCTATGCAAATCAG